GCCTGTTCCTTGTAAGTACTCCTGATTTGCCCTGGAAAGGGAGACCTGCATGGAATCACATAACCTCCCGGGCCATCCATCCCAGGCTGCTCCGGGTCAGCCCTTCCAAGACCCGGGAGAGCAGGGTGGACGGAAGTCCAGGCCCCTGAGCAGTCCTGCACCCAGTCAGCTCCCCGTGAAGACAGTGGACTTGATGGACAGCTCCGAGTGGGATGGTGCCCAGCAGTGGCACTCGCAGCATGTCCCTTCCTCCGCCCCTGAGCTGTCCTCCACCTGGCTTCTCAAGCAGAGATCACATGTGAATACGTGTGACATGGTAACGTGTGTGGACAAACAGGAGTTTCTTACAAAGGATCCCTTTCCCCTGAGGTCTATTCAAGGCGCGGGGCTCCCCGCGTCACATGGGCTCATTAATGCCTTTTCCATACTTTTCTGGGACTTAAAGTCAGGAGAGGGGCTGTGTGATGTGGCAGTTGCCATAGCAACAAATTCAATTTTTATTCTGTATCAGAGTAAATAGTCACGGAAAATGAAATCACCGGGTTCGCTGGTGGCTGTGGCAACCCCACCTCACCTCCCCCCAATGCTTCCTTGCCCTTTTCTAACATTTTCAATTGATTTGTGTGAAAATGAGCCTGGTGTGCCCTTGGATCAAAGGGACATGGTGCGCCATCCTGGGTGGCCTGGGACAGTGCCTCGTTGAGGCTGGGGGGCTCGATAGATGTGCCATGGGACTCCCGCTCAGCCATGGCTTGCTCCTGGTCCAGGGGAGTCTGCCCCAGGCTCCGCCTCTGGCCCCTGTTCTCAGAGTGTGGAGGTGCCAGCAGGTGGCCTTCCCGCTGCGGCTTCCCCGAGCTTGGGCCGGCTCTCAGAGCAGCCGAGGGTGAAGAGAGCTGCCGCCCAGGCCTCCCAGCCCGCTGCAGTGACCGAGCCTCCTCCTGCAGCCTCTCTGCAGACGTCACGTCTTCTGTCCCTTGGAGGCGACATGTGGCACAGGTGGGGAGCCGAGGCACAGGCAATGGCATGGGGAAGCAGCAGCGGGGGCTGGTCCGGCACAGCCAGCCCCCAGCCCGCCTCTGGTTTCCCACGCGCTCCTCTGCAGCTCAGACGTCCAGAAGGTCTCCCGTCCTGGCCTTTGGCTGAGAAGCCCTTTTGCTCTAGGTTGGAACTGGGCTCTGGGCGGGCACGTGGGCCCGACAGACAGGTGATCACCTGGACACTCACAGCAGCTGCTGGCCCTGGCCTCCCCTGCTCTTGCCGGCTCCTGCAAGCCCCAGCCACCAGAGACTTCACATCAGAGCCTCCGCTGCCCCAAGGAGCCCAGGACAGGTCGGTGGAGAGACTGAACGGTGGCCTGTACGTGGGAGCCCCTCCAGGATGTGGCAAACCTTCGCGCCTCACACCTTCCGTGGTACAGCGGAGATGGTCAGCTGCAGCTCAGCAGGGCTGGGAAGGTCCCCAAGTGTGTGAGACGCAGGGTGCGAGCAGCCCGGCTCCTGCTCTGTGCAGAAGCCGTCCCCTCCTCCCTGGGTGCTTCACCGCAGCGTGTGCTGGGCTCTGCTGCCTTTTCAGCTATGCGCTCAGGAGTGAGGCCACGTGTGTCCTGGTCATCATGTTGTCTCCAGCACCCAGCATCCTGCCCGATGTGCACAGGGACACCCTGAGCTGCCCGGGAGTGGGCAGGGTCATGAGCTACGTGCAGCCGCAGGCCCCCTGGCCCCTGCGCTCTCACACCGACCTTCCTACCGCATTCAGACCGCCTTTCCCCAGCCCAGAGCCACAGTGGAACAGAGCCTTGGCCCTGGGCTGCGGAGCCCCCTGTCCCTGGCAGAGCGGAGGACCCTCTCCAACACCAGCCTGGTGCACTGCTGCTGCTACCTGCTCCTGGAGCCGTGCTGTCCCCTCTGCCCCTTCAGACCAGCCGTCTCCAAGCTCCGATGGAGACCCTCGCCTGTGCCTGGTGCCGTGGGCGTGAGAAAGCAAGGTTTCCTCGTCCTGACGAAGGAACTGGGCAGAGCACATCATAAAACGTAATCAAACGTCAGCTCAAAATGCTCCCACATCAAAACAGACATGAGGAGCTCGGCCCCGAACGCAGCAGGCTGCGAGTTGGGCTTGCGTTGCTTGCCAAGATGTGTGGTGGCCTCTCCCCAGCGGGAGGGCCTCCCCGATAGGAGCCCCTTGAAGCTGGGCCTGGGGCATCGGAGCAGCCTGCACAGGGCTGTGGGCGTGTCATCAGAAGTCCACAGACACGTGCTCACCTCAGCTGAGGCCACATTCACCAGGGGTGCAGGATGACAGAGCTTTGTCCCCTCCACACCAGAATGCCACGGGCACACTTCCTGGGCCCTTCAGTCCCTGTCCTCACCCAGAAGACAGGAACTTCATGGATAAACCATGGCATTCCCTGTGACCCCAGAACAGTGTGGCTCCCTCACCCTGTTCTGCAGGCCTGGGGACTTGAGTTGGTTCCCAGGACTCAACTGTGACTGTCCCTACTTACTCCCAAGGTCCTCACAAGTTCTTGGTGTCTCTGAGCCCAGGAACTGCTGCTGGGCTCCTGCTGCCCAAAACCATGGCATAGGTGTCCTGGGCATCAGTGCCCTGGGGGTGCCAACCAAGTGCCATCAGGGAGAAGGTCCAAAGAGTTCTTCTCACCTGATGGAAGGGAGAGGTCCAGCATCAAGGGCCTCGCTCCCTCCAGCATTCCTAGGGGAACTTCCTGGGTCCTCCAGCCTTTGGCGGCCACAGAGCCTGGCCAGCCCTTGGCCTGTACAGGCACCACTCCAAACTCTGCCTGTGTCACAGGGACATCTTCCCTCTGAGAGTGTGCCTCTTCTCAGAAGGACGCAGTCATAGCAGATGCAGGCCTATCGTAGCCTCACGACTCCTGCGAAGACCCCCTTCCCAAGTAAGTCCACATTTGAGAGAGCTGGGGGTTAGGAGTTGAATGCATCTTTTGGGAAACCAGACCAACTGGCAGTGCCCTGAGGTCACGATTGCACCGTCCTGTCTGGAACCAGCTGGCCTGAGGCCCCTCCTTTGGGCATGCCATACCTTGCTCTTCTCTTGCAGGGACAGTTGGCCTTCCCAGCCAAGTCAGCCTCTCCAGAAATAATGAAGTCTATTACGTGGATCTAAAGCCAGCTTGTGCCCCGACACAGACCCTCCGCAGACCCGGCAGGCACCACAGGGACTGAACATTGTAGGCTGATGAGAAGAACAATTCATTAAGTACATGCCTTGTGCACCCAGAGCAGTACGTGGAGAGGTGAGCACGCATCCAGGAGGTTGGACAGAGGTCGGACTTCATCATAGCATCATGGCAAAACCCAGGAAGAAGGGCGCTTGGGGCTGTGGAGATTTTGGAGAGCAGGGCCAGCCAGCGGGGCTCCGAGAGAGCGCCCCTCCTCTGCCTGCCTCAGGACGCCCTCCTGGCGGAGTTTACTATAGGAAGACAAGTTTCTCTCAAGGGACAGCTGTTCTCAGGGCCTCTGTGTCTGCAAACCCTATGCCAGAGGGTCGAAGGGGAGGACACTGGAATGTGTGTCTGAGCACGTCAACGTGAACCCCCAATCGCCTGTAACTGCAATGCACTGAAAACCAAAGAATAGGGATAACACAGTCCTGAGCCAGGGGCTGAAGAGGAGGAGGTTATTACCTGCAGTCACAGATGTTAGAGTGAACCCCACCATGTGGATGACCAGAGTGGCCTGAAACTAGGAAGGTGTGCCCTGGGGTGCCGTGGCCTGGTCTATTGGTGTATTATGGGAACCACGTTCTGGTCTCTTATGTCTAAAAGTGCGAGGGGTGCTAGATGCTGGGGTGACTCATATGTCAGCGTGCACACACACACGCCTCCCTTTCTTGTCGGTGACAATGGGCCAGTGCTACGGTCACACAGACTCTCTGGCTCCAGTGAGTGCAAACCTTTTCACTGAGTGGCGGCTTCACGTATCTCACTGAGAGCATAAAGGAAACGGAGGCTCCTAAGGAGGAGCGTTGCCAAGCCCCGGACAGTGCCGAGGTTTCCCGAGGCCCAATGTGGAGGCCAGCGTCTGACACGCCTCAGGGTGGGGCCGTGCCCTCCACTCTCGGGCCACAACAGGGTCCCAGACCGGGGGTCAGACAGGGGTGCTCAGCCTCCCAGTGCTGGAGACTGGAGCTCAAGGCCACTTCTCCCTGTGCCCTCCCAAGATCGTCCTTCCATGTGACAGGGTCCTGACCTTCTCCTCTTTCTTTCAGCACCTGAAATTGAGCCCAGGGTTGCTGACCACTGAGTCTCCTCCCGCCCTCTTGTGTCTTCTGTTTTCATACAGGTCTCACTAAGTGGCTGAGGCTGGTCTTGAACCTGTGGGGTCAGGCCCAACCATGGCCCTGTGGTGCCTTGTAACCTCGGCAAAGATCTTCTTCCCAGACACAGCCCCCTCCTGATGACCCAGAGATTCAGAGACACAGTCAGCCACACTGCTGGCTGTAGTCAGGTCTGGGGGTTCTCCTTGAACTTGGGTTCTTTTTATTCATTAGCTCCACAAGACGGTGTCTGGGCCCTCTTCCTCTGTCCCATCAAGCAGTCAGTCAGATGTGACAGAGGCCAGGGCAGTGAGGGAGGCGAGCCCGGGGCAGATGGGGCAGGTGTGTCTAGGCGCTCTCTGGGGTCAGACCACACTCCCAGGGGGCTCTCCAGCCATAGCAAGGGAGGCCAGTCTCCACAGGCCAGCCTGCTAAACTGACCACTAGTGGTCTCAGTGTGGGTGGTCAGATACTCCTTCCTCAGGCGTCCTGCCCAGCACCCGGCGCTCCCTTGGATGCTCCCTGGGGCCGGCCGGGCCCGAGCACGTCCTTCCGTGGAGTCCCTGCAGCATGCTCTGCGGCTCGGAGGAGCCTCCCGCGTTTCCTACGGCCGCCTCACAGTGACACAGAGGCACTAATTGTTCAACTGCTAATTTGCAGATCTTCTCTAAGCAAATGCAAACCAATTCTGGTCCTCAAAGCCCAGCTAATACACAATGTTCGATTTTTAATTTCCAGTCCATCTTAGATTATGGGAATGAAAAACAATATTTAATCCCTCGTTAACACATGAATGAGCGGAAGCTGTCATTTCCAACCAGACAATAACGGGATTATCTCAAGAACTGTCAGTTTACGTGAAAACATTATGTTGCCCAAATTTTCATAAAAATTAGCAATAGATAATATTCAAGATCAGAGCAATGGAAAGGGAAAGATCTCATTCATGGTAATAAATATTCATATTTGTCTGCTCAGGAGATGAAAATCTAATCAAGGGGCTATTGATGCACACTGGCTTTTTTTTTCCCTAACCAAGACGTTTCATCTAAATCGGGTTTGATATGGAAATGAGTCTCCCTCGTAGTCCTCCGGGCAGCGCTCACCGGGATCCCGCGGGGGTGCCCACTGCCCAGGTCTGCTCCTGGCACACGCGGCTTCAGGGCGGCTGTCACGTGAGGCTCTCGGCGGCCTCTCCGTCCAGTGCCCTCCGAGGTCAACACGAGGACGTGCTTTGGACTCCCCTCCCTTTTTTTCAGAAAAAACTACGGCATAATTTTATGCCCATTAACGCCTAGAAACTGCGGGGTTAGAATCCTCTGTGTTTTTGCTTTTATGGACAATTATCATAAATCAGAAGACACTGCGTGAGGCTGAATAAAATACGTGTGACTTTAAAAAGAAAAGGTGGTACCTGCAGGACAGTGTGGGTGTGCTCATGTCACGTGCTTGTGAAGTAGGGTGTATGCTGTCACTCCTGTGTCCATGTGTGTGCTGTGTGTTCATCTGTGTTTATTTGTTGATGTGTGTGTCTGTGTTAATGTGTTGGTGTGTGTGTGCTTGTGTATTGATGTGTGTTTATGTATTTGTGTGTTGTGTGTGCTTGTGTGTGGTGTGTGTGTGAGTTGTGTGTGCTTGCGTGCTGTGTATACTTGTGTGTTAATGCATGTGCTTGCATGTTGAGGTTGTTTGTTGTGTGTTCTTGTGTGTTGATGTGTGTGCTTGCGTGTTGGGGTGTGTTCTTGTGTGTTGACGTGTGTCTGCATATTGATGCGTATGCTTGCCTGTTGAGTTGGTTTGTGGGCTGTGTGCTTGCACGTTGATGTATGTGGTTTCTGTGTTATGTGTGCTTGTGTCAATGTCTGTTTAGGCATCTGTGTGTTGTGCATGCTTGTGGGTTGAGTGTGTTTGTGTGTTGTGTGTGCTTGTGTGTCTTTGCATGTTAATGCATGTGCTTGAATTTGAGATAGTTTTGTGTTGTGTGTGCTTGTATGTCAGTGTGTTAGGCATTTGCATGTTGTGTGTGCTTGTGTATTGAGTGTGTTTGTGTGTGCTTGTGTATTGAGTGTTTGTGTGTTGTGTGTTGGTGTATTAGGCATTGCATGTTGTGTGTGCTTGGGTATTGAGTGTATGTTGTGTTGTGTGTGCTTGTGTATTGTTTGTGTGTTGTGTGTGCTTGTGTGTTGGTGTGTTAGGCATTGCATGTTGTGTGTGCTTGGGTATTGAGTGTATGTTGTATTGTGTGTGCTTGTGTATTGTGTGTTGTGTGTGCTTGTGTATTGAGTGTTTGTGTGTTGTGTGTGCTTGTGTGTTGGTGTGTTAGGTATTGCATGTTGTGTGTGCTTGTGTATTAAGTGTATGTTGTGTGTGCTTGTGTATTGAGTGTATGTTGCGTGTGCCTGTGTGTTAATGCATGTGCTGGGATTCGAGGTTGTTGTGAGTCGTGTGCGTGTGTGTTGGTGTGTGTGCTTGTGTTGGAGTCCAGGGTTTCCTGCCATTTGCTGGGATCTTCCTCCCCATCAGCAGGCATTTGAAGTGGGGGGGAGGAAACCGGTGCATGTCGGTCACACTGGTCACAGAGGCCCAGGCAGGAGGCCTCTCAGCAGTGCAGGGGTCACTGGGGGACTCCCAGCACTCAGGGTTCTGTTGACCGCAGGCCACCCAGGGCCTCTGGGGAACGGACCTTTCTAGCTGCACTTGGGGACCCCAGGAGGATAGGCTGCCTCAGCCATGGCACAGGTCCACTGGAGTGGGCCCTTGGCAGCCTGCAAGGTGCCTTCCCTGAGTCCTGGAGACTCCAGTTTTTGTGACATGCCTCCTTCAGGTCACTACTGGTTGTCAGAGTGGAATGCTATATTCCTGTGCACTTGAATTGTGTCCCCTCCCCTTTACCCCGGTGGCCGGCAGAGCTGGCCCTGGGACGTTGGTATTCTGGAAGGGCACACGGGAAGTGTGGTTTCTGGACCTCCCTGTCTCCCCCAGCCCTTCTGTGGTGGGCAGGAGTGCCGGGGCCGACACAGACATCAGACACGCAGGCGGGGCACACCAAGATGGGAAGGACATGTCCCAGGGACAGCGCCGCGTCTTCCACGGCTGCCTGTGGGGGTCAGGATCCCTGCGGGGCCCACCGGGCAGTGACTGGCTGTTCAGAGCACCGTCCTCCGAGAAGCCAGTCTGTGAGCCCCGAGCACCTTCAGGCTGGCCACTGCCCTCCTGGGCTCCTGGGGTGGCTCTAGCACACGCCTGTGCTGACAGGTCCCTCTCCGGGGCTTGCTGACCTGTGCCTGGGCAGCTGGCCCTTTGCTCCAGGGAGCACCAGTCCCTGGAGTGTGGGGAGAAGTCTCTGTCACCCTGCAGCCTCTCTCTGGCAACCCTCCCCAAGGGACAGGGTCCCCTCTGCAGCCCTGCCTGTGTGATGCCCTCCAGGGGAGGCCCAGGGTGCTGCTGCTGTTGCCACCCTTCCTGTCCTTTTGGAAAAGGTCTCTGCAGGTCCTTGGCCCCTAGGAATTATTTGTGATACCTCAGCCTCAGCTGCCCTTGTTCAAGAAAGGGACAGTTTGTCCCAGCATAGGGAACGCAGCATTCAGACCTCACACCCCTCTTGGTGACGAACTATGTCCTGGGTCACTATGTGAATTTGTCTTCTTGACACGGGACCCAATTTCCAGAAGCATGGCCCGGAGGAGGGACCATGTGCCCACGCCCCCCGGCCAGACCCATCCGCCACCCCAGAGATGGGCGGAAGACGCAGAAGGGCAGGTGCTTTTTCGCAGTGGTGGGGGCCAAACCGGACCCTCAGGGGACTCACCTGTCACCCACCCTCCCGTCTTCGTGGAGCCTAGCTGAGGAAGAAGGAGGCCCTGAGAGGACAGGAGGAGTGCGGATGGAAGTGAGCGGCGTCTCCCAGAGGAAGACGCAGCCAGGAGCACGTGCCCCACACTGTGCACCTGGCCCCGCTGGGCGCCCCCTGGGCAGCTCTTTCTTCCTCCTGGGGACCCTCTCCTCCTCCCTGGACCTGCACCTCGCTGCCTGCTGCTGGCCTGTGCAGCCACTAGAGGGCACTCTCACACGGCCTTCCAGAGTTCCTGCTCCTGCCGATGGGGTGGCCAGGAATTTACCAGGATCTAGAGGATGGGTGCGGGCAGGGAGGGTGTGAAGGAGAGACAGGAAAGTGGACAAATTGGAAGGCTCTGGAAGTATCTGTCTGTAGTCTCCCTGCTTCCAGAATTAAGACGTAGGCACCGTACACGACGGACCCTGGTAAGGGGCTAGCACCAGCTTGGCTGCTCACATCTGAACTGAGTTCTCTGTTGCCACTGTGTTAGAAGGACAGGTGTGCCCTGGGCAAGGCCGGCCGACACCGCTGCCCACACTCCCTGTCCCCTGCTGGCTCCTGGAAGCCTGCAGCAGCTCCTCTGTCCATCTGAAGCCGCGGGCTCACTCCCCTCCTCTTGTTAGAAGCACTAGTCCCCCCAGACGCCCCAAGAGCACTGTCCAGATCACACCCAGGCCCGTTTCAGGGAGACCACATGGCAGACGGCAGCCTGAACCCCACCATGTCCAGGTGGTCAGTCACACTGCCCGACTCCTCCCTCAGTCTCCCAGCTGGGGAAGGGTTTCTCCCAAGGTGCCTGGTCCCCAGAGACATGCTGTGAGGAGCCGCCACCGTGGTACAGGAAGGGAACAGGGCCTCCACACTCCACCCAGCAAGGCAGCATGGCATCCGCCTTCAAGAAGTCCCCAGCTCGAGGACATGCATGGTGTCTTAGAGCCAGGTGGCACTAGCTTCCCGACTCCTGGCACGGAGTCAGGTGCAGCCTGTAGGGGCTCAGGAGAGCTCACCTGGGACGTTCCGATGAACCCAGCGCCGTGGCCCGGGGCTGAGCGCGTGGGAGGCCCCGGCTCTGCAGGACAGCCAGCAGCAGACGCCCAGCAGCTGGCCTGGAGACCTGAGCAGCGCCTCTCCTTCTCTCCAGGTGCTTTTCTGAGTTTGTCCAACATGAGGGGCGTCCTGAGGCTCACGACAGATTTGTGTATGAAGGAGAAGCACAGGGTTTCCTCAACCTTGGCACCAAATGTCCAGCTGAAGCTCTCATGGAATGCAGTAGTCCACTCCCAGAGCTCTCAGGGGGGCCTCGGCAGCAGGGCCCCAGCCTCCAGCTGAGGCTCATGGGCCTTCCCAGACGCCCCGGGCATCATGGCCTGTGCCGGGAGGCCCAGCAGGCACCGGGGCACACTTGGGGCACCAGCAGTGTAGAGGCAACCGAAAACACCGTAGAAAAACTTGATAATGCAAATAAAACCCATCTTGGCCTAAAAAAAATGGAAGCTCCGACTTCCTCTAGCTTAGACACACAGTTCTTACAGATTGTGAACTACAGTCCTTCCCACTTCACCCACGGATGGATGGATGGGTGGACAGATGAACACATCAGTGGGTGGACAGAGGGATGGGTGGGTGGATGTGTAGAGTGGTGGATGAATGGATGCATAAGTGGTTGGGTGGATGAATGGACATGTTCACCCTTCATCTCCAGGACTTGGGGCTCTTTGGCTAGGCAGTTCTTGCCTGGAAATGAAGCCTTTCTTCAGACTTTCTCTGTGCGCCATAGTTTCTTCCCTTGAAAAACGAGCCAGTTGTTTAAGTGACTAAGTTAAACCAGGGAGAGCACAGAATGTGACAGCCCTTCTCTGGAAATTCGCAGGCTGGCTTCCTGGAGGCAGGACCCCTTCCTGCCTCCGTCCTGCAGACATGGCCTGCAAAGATCCAGCATCACGGGCTGGGGCGGGGGCTGGGGAGGGGCACTTGCCTAGCATGTGTGAGGAACTGGGTTCACTCTTCAGCAACACATATAATAAACAAAATAGAGGTACTGTGTGCCTCTACAACTAAAAGTATTTTTTCTTCAAAAAGATCCAGCCTCACAGCTTAAGTTCCCTCAAGATGTCCCATCAGGGAACAGGCTAAGACAGGAAAACCCACCCCGGGCCTGGGACTGCCTGCAGGTCCTAGCTCGGCTGAGTGGCTGGGCCTGGATCCACCGCAGGGTGCATCTGGTTGGCGAGGCAAGTTGTGCACTAAACCCATTTAGCAGGGTTTTCCAGGGTGCAGCTGAACCCCTTCCTTGGGCGCCCATCTGCCTTTCCCACGTCATGGCCCTTGCTGACCAGCTATGGCTCGGGGGCATGGTGCTCTGTCCTAGTCTTGCCTCCACAGACACGAGCACCCCGGGCCCTGGGCACCTCTCAGCCCTCTGCTCATGGGCTTCTCCTCCATCTTTGCCCACGTGGGCACAGATGCGTGGCTTTCCTGTCTGTCTGCCGAGGCGTTGGCTTGTAGTCATGTGATTTACGTGAACACGGTTCATTGTTCTACCCCTGACCTTTGGTGCTGTGTCTCAGTTTGGATCCCAGTCACCATTTACTTCTCCAGTGTCCCCACACACAGCGGAGGCTGGGTGGCTCTGGGTGCAGAGAAGGTGCTGGGCTGTGCCCAGGCCAGTGGCCCAGATGCAGACCTCGACCTTGCCTGGCTGGCAGTGCCTGGGAAAGGTGCAGCCTCCCCTGTCAGATGTGCATCACTGAAGCCTCATTACTGTCGTTGTGGGATTAAAAGGGCAGTGGGTTGTCGCACCCTGTGTGTCCACATGTGCATGCGTGTGTACACGCATACTGTGTAAACACATGGGTGTGTGAGCATGTGCACCTGTATGCGTATGCGTATGCGTGTGCTTGTGTGATACGCGTATGCATGTGTATGCGTATACATATGGGAATGCCTGTGCATAACTTTGTGTTCGCGTGTGTTTGTACACCTGTGTGCACGTGTGTGCTGATAAACTCATGTGCTTGCACGTGGAGACAATATCATTTCCTAGTCGTGAACCTCAGTACATGAAAACGCAGGCGCAGCAGGCGCAGCAGGCGCAGCAGGCGCAGCAGGCGGGGTGGGGTCGGGCACTCGTCAGGCCCCAGCTTGACAGACGCTTTCCCTCTGTCGTAACCTGACGTCACGCCCGAGCTCAAATGAAAGGAAAGGAAACCCCAAACAGGAGCACTTGACTCTCCCTGGCAGCGTCTGCTGTGCGGCACTCGCGCAGACAGGACGGGCCTTGTTCTGAGGCTGAGAGCCCGCCTGTCGGAGGCCGGAGGCCGCACAGCCAGGGGCCGGGCGTCTGTGGGTCTCAGCACCAGGGGGCAGTGGGTGGGCGGCTGTGGAGAGGAGGTGCAGGCTGTGCTCTGGGGCCTTTGTTAGGTTAGTCGTCCCCTCGCCTCCTCTGCTCCTCACCAAAGACTCCCGGAGGACCCAGAGGCCTCAGTGGCCAGGCGGCCGTGGTGACAGCAGGACAGGGGTCGCAGCCCCAGCTGGCTAGTTCACTGGCTCCAACTCAGACAATACCACTGAGCCGCGTCCAGCCTTGCAAACAGAGGCCACTGGCAGATGTGGATCAGGCCGCACACACGCACCCGAGCTGCCTCAGAGGCACCAGGGCCAGGCCCTCTGACGCTGGCCGCTGTCCACCGAGCACTTCCTGCAGCAGACCCTGTGCCCAGCCCCTGCGGCGCTGCTTGAGCATCTTAGTGCCCTGGGACCAGCTCTCCCCGTGGGCTGGACCTCAGGTAGTGTCCCCCTTGTCAGTGCGAGGCCTCGTCGGCCTAGTCTGCACCCCGAAGGCGCGTCTTCCTGAGGCAGGGGGGTGCCTCCAGGACACCTGACTAACCCAGGTAACAGGTCAGCTAAGACCCAGATGGCTGCCTAGGAGGTCAGCTCCTTGTCCACCCACAGGGCAGCAGTGGGAGTCGGCTGGACAGGACTGGAGGCACCACCTTCTAGCCATTGGCTAGGGGGGCTTGGGGCTCAGGGCTCCGGCTCACCTCCACCTGGCTGGTCCCACAGTGTGCCACCCATGCCCCCAAGGCATGGGGGAAAAGTACCAGTGGGCCCCGGATGGAGGAGCTTGGGCCAGGCCTAGCCTCAGCCTGAACTGGACCTCAGAGACCAGCGTCCCAACGTGACACCCACGCAGGCCTGGGAGCCGAGGTCGGGCATGTCCTGGAAGGTCAGAGGCCTGAAGCAGCGGCTCCTGGGAAGTGTGGACCCAGAGCCAGGGCAGGTTTGCTGGCTCTGCCCTGTCCGGAGCCAGCCAGTGGCCCGGCTGAGCTCTGCTCCTGGCTCGGGACGGCACTCGGCACTGGTGCCAACAGGAGCAAGTGTTAGGAGAAATGCACCTTTGATCTCGACGTCCTGCAGGGGATGTCCACCCTAAGCCAGGGCTCTCTTGTCAGAGCTCTCATGGGCTTGTCACACACAGACACTGTGTGACCAGCTTCTGGGGCCAGGCCAATGCAGGCACCAAGAGGGCACCACCCAGGGAGCAGCCCCCGGCTCTGCACCCCCTCCGCCCCCACCCCCAGGCCCGGCAGCATCCTAGGGACCTGCGCCCGGCACCAGGGCACTTGTGTGGCTGGCGACCAGGTGTCGATTCCCTCTGTCCCAGTAGGAAGTGACCCTGTGTGCCTTTGGTCTGGCTGCATCCCGGACGGGAGGGACCTGACAGTCCCTGCTGGGCTGGCCGTTCTGAAGAACTGCCATGTTCTTCTCCCTGGGTCTGTGGAAAGGTCCCCCAGAGCTTTCAGGCCACAGTGGTCATGCGTGATGTGGCCATGGTGACCAGAATAGTCCAGGTGGGGACTGTGCAGCTTGGCAGGAACCAGGTCCCACCCAGGGGTGGCTCAAACCCCAGGAGTGTGTCCTCTGTCCTGGAGGAGGCCAGACGGGGTCCCGAAGGGCAGGGCTGAGGGCCACGCTGCATGTGCATGTGTCTCTTGTCCAATGTCCCTTTTCTCGAGGACAGTTCAGATGGTGTCAGGGCCAGCCCAAGCCACCTCATGGTACCTTTGTTGCTGATTGAGGACCATCTCCAAATACAGCCACATCCTGCGGTCCTGGTTCACCGTGAACCTCGGGAGCAGTCAGCCCCACCACTGGCTTCTAAAGAATCGTGTCTAACCACTCAGGAGTTCTGGTGTCCGATACTTGTAGGAGGACGTCCAGGGGAGCCAGGGAGGACGCACAGCTCCACGCCCCCTTTCCCTGCACTTGCCATCTCCCTCCCCTTTCAAGGGCATGGGCCCAGGTGGGGCCCAGGTGGGGCCACGTCGACAAGTGCGCTTCCTGCATCTCTGGCTTGATTCTGCACTTCAGTGGCTTGAGGTTCCGTATTCCTCTTCCCATCCTGATCCCTGTCTCAACCTGGGCGGGCAGTGACTCAGCATGACGGTCCTGTCACATCTGCCTGGCTGCCTGCAGGTAGCTGGGCTCAGCCCCCACCTCCCACCTCCTCTCTTCTGCACACAGTGAGGAAATCCGCAGAGGTCGCCTCCATCAGGTGTTCCGGGTCGCCACGGGGCTCCCTGCTCCGGCATCTCATCTTACCTGAGCAGTCGCGCCTGCACCGGTCCTGCCTCCAAGCACGGCCACATTCCAAGGGGAGCCCCAGTCACTGGGACCCAGCAGAGCAGAAGGCATGGGCCACTCCAGATGGAGGCTCTTCACATCAAGAGGATCTGCAAACCACCGTCATCCTTTGGGGCCACTTAGGAGGGGCCCCACTGGCCCTGAGTTCCCTTGGGCCCCAGGCCCCAGGCCCAGAAAGTCGCACCTTTAAATCCACTATTGTAGCTCAGGAGACTTCCAGAGGTCTGCGTCCAGAGGAGTCTTCGATGGTGGTTGTTTGAATGTTTGTCATTCATCAACAGAGTCACTGTTAGGTGACCCTGGGAAGCAAGTGCAGGCATTTGAGTCCAGCCCAGGGACCAGAATGGACAGGTGGCATAGCAGAGGCACTTGGTGGCTTTGCCGGGCCCACACAGGCTTCCCTTGGCTCTCAGATGGGCCCCAGCCTCATGCAGGCGTCAAACCTGGCTGTTCCTGAGCAGACACCCCAGGGCTCTTGCATGGTTGGACGACCACTCCCCAGATAGGTGGCATTCCCCTGTGGACAAGGGGGAGTCAGCCTGTGAGAGTCCTGTGAGACATAGCCAGCCGCCCAGAGCCAGGCCCCAGTGTGCGGCTCCTTCCTCTGCCCTCTGCACTAGTCCCAACAGGAGGGGGCCACTACCTAGGAACAGCAGTGTCCTTGTGGCCGCGTCAGAGCCACTGTCCTCTGTGGCAGCCCAGGTGGGCACTGTTGAGCAACAGCCAGAGCCTGTTTCCCTCCCAACCTGGCACAGGAGACTTCCTGCTGCACTGTCCCCAGGGCCAGGCTGGGCGGCCATCTGTGAATCATAGCCACCTCCAGCTCAGAGAAGCAGGTGCTGAGGCTTGCTCACCAGACTTGCCTCCCTCCTTCATACCTGCTGGCTGGCCACCACGGCATCCACCCCACGGCTCTCTAGTGGATCTGACCCCTGCCAGCTGGCCACCACGGCGTCCACCCCACGGCTGTCTAGTGGATATGACCCCTGCCGGCTGGCCACCACTGTGTCCACCCCACGGCTCTCTAGTGGATATGACCCCTGCCAGCTGACCACCACTGCATCCACCCCACGGCTCTCTAGGTGGATCTGACCCCTGCCAGCTGGCCATCACGGCGTCCACCCCACGGCTCTCTAGGTGGATCTGACCCCTGCCGGCTGGCCATCACGGCGTCCACCCCACGGCTCTCTAGGTGGATCTGACCCCTGCCAGCTGGCCATCACGGCGTCCACCCCACGGCTCTCTAGGACCCCTGCCGGCTGGCCATCACGGCGTCCACCCCACGGCTCTCTAGGTGGATCTGACCCCTGCCAGCTGGCCACCACGGCGTCCACCCCACGGCTCTCTAGGTGGATCTGACCCCTTTGGGCTGGCCACCACCGCGTCCACCCCACGGCTCTCTAGGTGGATCTGACCCCTGCCGGCTGGCCACCACTGTGTCCACCCCACGGCTCTCTAGGTGGATCTGACCCCTGCCGGCTGGCCACCACTGTGTCCACCCCACGGCTCTCTAGGTGGATCTGACCCCTGCCGGCTGGCCACCACGGCGTCCACCCCACGGCTCTCTAGTGGATATGACCCCTGCCGGCTGGCCACCACCACGTCCACCCCACGGCTCTCTAGGTGGATCTGACCCCTGCCGGCTGGCCACCACTGCATCCACCCCACGGCTCCCTAGGTGGATCTGACCCCTGCAGGCTGGCCACCACGGCGTCCACCCCACGGCTCTCTAGTGGACATGACCCCTGCCGGCTGGCCATCACGGCGTCCACCCCACGGCTCTCTAGGTAGATCTGACCCCTGCCGGCTGGCCACCACTGTGTCCACCCCACGGCTCTCTAGTGGATCTGACCCCTGCCGGCTGGCCACCACTGTGTCCACCCCACGGCTCTCTAGGGCAGTTTAGAGGCAAGCCCTTGGATTCTGGGCAGAGAGCCGTGGCCGTGGATCCCGCCCCAGGTCCCCCAGCCCCTATCCTGCAGTCCTGCTCTTTGGACCCTGACACACCCTGGATGTGGGGTGCAGATTGTGCTGGAGATGTGGTGCAGAGAGGCAGGGTGGAGGCTGGCCCCAGCTGAGCCAGTGGACAGGTGGCTAGGCCACGCCTGCCTCCTGAACCCAGGCCCACGTGCTGCCCGCTGCTCATGTCCTCCTTGCTGATAGATCTCTAGGCTCCCCCACCTGCAGCACCCAGTCCAGCCTATCCAGGTCAGGGAAGCCATGGTCAGTGTGGGTGGGAGAGGGACGCAGTGTCAGCACGCTGGAGCTGAGGGCACGGCACTCTGGACCTGGTTGCGTGGAGAGCAGAGCCCTGCCTTCTTGTGCTGCAGTCCAGGATGGAGGCGGCTGTGTCCCTGTGTCCAGATGCCCCTGGGAGAGGACGCCAGCAGGACTGCTGAGCCCACGCCAACAGTCTCGTTTTAGCTGAGCAGTTGCCCTGTGTTCTGTCCAGCTCTGTGTTCAGCCAGGTCACGCGCACCGCCCACCAGGTCCACTTCAGGACCACATGTTCAGGATTCAGCATGTGGGTCTTGAGGGACTCATACTCACAGAAGTGCAGGGAAGCGTCTCCAGACGGGGGTCTCCCTGCACGCAGGGGGTTCGGCGCCACGTGGCCACTGGGTTTTGTGGTGAAACCTGTTTTGTTGTGCAAGGATTTCCCACCCAGTTCCTTCTGGCGCTTCCTCTGGCTCCACCTGGTCTTCCTGGCCTTTCCGATAAAGACCAGGGGAGACTGGACACCTAGACAAAGGGCGGCTGCCCACCTGGCTGGGAGGGGGCCAGGGTGTCGGTGGCAAGGATCTCCCACTCCAGCGTTTCAGCAAAGGGCAGACACAAAGCACAGTGTGAGTCGGGTCATCTGGAATGGAGCTTCACCAAAAGTTTGGTCCTGGCTCCTGATGCCAATCCGATAAGGACACGGTTTTGAGAAAAAGGAAAAAGAGGTTTATGGCTTTGCTCGCAAAGGAGAGGCACAGAGGACTGCTTTCCCAGGCTGTGGTTCTGCCCATCAAGGGAGCAGGGCTCCTAAGGAGGCGGTTCAGAGCCACATTCCACACGTTCTGTCGGAGTTGATTCACTTGCTAGCTCGGGAGACAGTCATTTCTGAGATCCTCCGGTGCCATCCCCAAGTCTGAATTGCTTGGTTCCTGTGGTGGTGTGCACTCAAGGACAGATAAGTCGGCCTAGGACGGGAAGGAACCCTTTCCCCCCACTAGCCAGGAGGAGGGAGGGATTAGGGAGGAGGAGGGAGAGAAACATCTCCACTGCAAAAATAGGTCCCAGTGGCAGACACCCAGGGCCATGTTCCAAGCATGAAGTGGACCCTGTTACAGAGCCAAGGCCCAAGAGAACCCGACAGCACCCGGGTCCTGAGCCTGGCCGGCTCCTCTGCAGTGGGGCTGTGGTGCTGGGGCCCTGGAGCCCTGCCCGCCGCCCGCTGGCCACCACCCTCCCCTCCTTGCTGCCTGCTGGGCCTGGGGCAGGGATGGCTCCTGGAATGGCCGGAACCAGGCGGCCCCCCTCCAGCCTGGGCGGCCGCAGGTCTGAGGTGGGGGCTCCAGTGCCCCCGGGTGGGCGGGCGAACGGAGAGGCTGCCAGCTGCCCACCTCCCAGCAGCATCGGGAAATGGTTGAGTGTCCACTGCAAGTTCTGCAATTGGGGAAGCTGAGGGACTCCTCCTGGGGCGGGAAAGTGGGGGAGGGGCGTGTCCCCGTGAGACCCCACCCCCACCCCCACCCCCGTTGGCACACACTGCAGGGAGCACGGGGTCCAGTCCCTGGAAGACACCCTTGTGGGAAAGAATCTGAGAAATAGAAACCGTTCTTTTTAAACAAACCCACACTTTCCTGCTGAATTTGTTTCTAAGATTGGCTTCTTAGACTTTCGATGTAAACATGATTATTTAAGGGGGGAAGAGGAGGCTCGGTCTAGAAAGCTTTCAATTAAAATTTCTAATCTGCGTTTGGTCCAGTCTTTGGAGTTTTGTTAGTAAAGTTATCTCAGCATAAGTGTACTTCATTCTGCTTTTTTTGTTGGCTAACTGGTGGTTGCGTAATACTTTTTTCCAACAGAAATACAAGTTGACTCTTAAAAAAAATATTGGCGACAAAAGTTTACAGAATCAAGCCACTTAGTATTTCAGAAATTTTTTCCCTTTGATTTTTGGGGAGTGAGTGGTATCCTTTTTTTAATGTTTATTTATTTATTTATTTTTTAGTTGTAGTTGCACACAATACCTTTATTTATATGTGGTGCTGAGGATCGAACCCAGGGCCTCGCACATGCTAGGCGAGCACTCTGCCACTGAGCCACAACCCCAGCCCCTAGTGGTATCCTTTTTATTTTTATTTTTTAATTGTTTGAGCTGGGTCTCTCTAATTTGGTGAGATTGGCTTTGGACAATCCTCCTGCCTCAGCCTCCTGAGTCACTCACTGAGATGACAGGTGTGGGCCACTATATCCAGCCAGAACGTTTTGACAAAACAATTCCCTCATAAATACAACTTTCCTTGGTGTCTTTGGCTGTGATTCTGAGGCATTTTGGCATATTTTAAAAATCTGTATGCTTTGATAGCACTTTTAAGAAAGTGAACACAATAACTTTGCCCAGAGGGTTTTCTTTGCTATGGGTGGTTAAGGAGTGCATTTGAAGTAGGCTTTGAACTCACCCACCTGTCCAGCCCGGGAAGCTGTGTGGTCTGCAGGGTCTCGGGGGGTGGAGGTCTGGAGGGCAGGATCTGTGAGTCAGGGCAGCACTGTGGGTCTGCATGGTGAGTGCCCCTTCTGCAGGTGATGGAGGTGTCTGTGGGTGCCGAGGACCTGGCCTGGGGCCGGTCTGCCTCCGCTGCCTGGTGGTCAGGCTTGCCTTCTCTGGGCCTTGAGGATTGGAAACCAGAAGACCCTGAAGGCACCTGGCTGGGAGCCCCTCAGAGGTGGCTGGCCCCTGTCCCAGTGTGCAAAGACCTGGGTCACCCATGGGAGTCTGCACGTCCTCCCTCAGGCCACAGCTTCCTGTGGCCCCTGCCAGATGATCCACCTGCCCTTAGTGACACAGGGACCCTTGGCGGTAGCAAGTCCTGTGATTGGGAGCCTCATGAGAGCAAAGGGCAGGCGCTCAGCAGGAGTCCAGGGTGGGTGTCCATAGATGGGCTTCAGGGGTTCTGTCAATCTGTATTTGTATCAAAACCCAGAAGCGCACTTTTATTCATGAGCCGTTTCTGTGTGAATTTTGAATGTATGCCGTGATTACTTGAGAAGTTCGGGGATCATTCAGACGCAAGCTGATGCTCTTGCTATGATCTGGAGCGTGTTGCTTACTGAGTGTCAACTACCAGCGTGGGAGGCCGGCAGACAGCTGGGCCGGGAGGGGCCCTTCCCTGGTGGGAGAGGGCTGGCCAGGGCCAGGACAGGCAGCTGCCCGGCTGCTTTCTCGGCACTCCCCTCGCTCTGCGGGCCCCACGCTGCCTACGGCCCACGAGGGTCCTGGTCTGAGATGCCGGCCCTGGGGAGGTCTCCTCTGGTTGCCCCCCCGCCGCTTCCCCACACTTGGGTGTGGGTGGAGGACCCCCAGGTAAGCTTAAGCTAACTGCACTCACAACACTCCGCAGCGGGCAAGGGGGTCCCAGGGCACCCGCCTCGTCCCTCCAGGACGGGGGCTCCCGATCCCCGGCCCCGCGTGCGCTTGTCCAGGAGCTTGCTAGAGTGCGTCTGTGTGGGGCTGGGCACGGAGGAAACTGTGCAGGGGACACTGAGCAGCCCTGTCTGTGAGTGCCCCGAGGCCCGCCCCTCTGCACACCAGACCCTTAGGTGGGCCGAGGCACCCAGGTCAGAATGGCAAGCGTGGCTGCCTCGCGTTTCCCCGGTCCTGACCTCGTGGGAGTGAGGCTGGAACGGCTGCTCCCGGTGGAGAGAGCAGCGTCAGCTCTATCGACTAAGGAGGCTCCTCTCCCACGAAACATTCTCTGATGGTTGATTTCGACCAAAAATGTCTGAATAGAAAGTGGTATTAACTGAAACAAGGAAAATCTAACAGGTTTGACTCCTGGGAGACCGTCCCTGAAGTGTGGCTGCATCCTCGGAACCTGCTCAGAAGGGGCGTGGCTTTGGGGAGGTTGAACGTGACTCGTCCTGGCTGGCGTGCACCTGTCCCTCTGAGCTGATGGCAGAGGCAGGCACAGCCCTGGGACCAGACCTGCCGTGAAGCCCTGCGCAGTACTGGGGGGTCTGTCTGTGGGGAGCTTCTCGGCCACTCTGGGGCGGTCACGGCTCACGGCCGCAGTCACTGACTGACACAGGTCCCTCCCCTGTGGCCTAGCCGCCAAGCTCACGGCTCTGAGGCGCTCTCAGCGCCTCCCTCAGGGAGAGGACTGTCCTGTGTTGGCCTTGGAAGGGCCTGGGTTTCAGGGTCAGCTTTCCACCTTTTTATGGTGGGATGCAGAGGTGGGCAGCACCTGGAGGACTCTGAGAGCCTCTGTCCTCTGGGGCTGGGAGCCTCCCTGCCCTGCCCTCACCTCTCACACTGCAGGCAGGCTCCCAGAGGGCACTGCCCACCTGCCCGCTACCCAGGGGGTCCTTGTGAGGCAGGGAAGCAGGCCTCTGGTCACCAGACCCCGCCGTCTGCCCTCTGAAGTCCGTGTTTTCTGAGGGAAGGGTTGGAAGGGATCCTTTTCTACCCGGAGTTCAGGGAGACATTTAGGTATTTCCTTTGAAACTTTTGTGATTTTTTCAGGCTTTAATCTGCAGGCGTCGTGGGAAGCTGGGGTCCACTTTTCTTTCCTCCCATGCGTGGCCCTGGATTGGACTGTCCCTCCTCTCCCGCCAACCCGTGTGCCACTCTTGCTGTCTCTGGCCTCTGCTCCCGGCTCTGGCCTCCTGGCTGGGCCTCCAGCACGCTGTGGTCCCTGGGTGGTCTGCAGCTCCTGGGCCCTCCTGGACTGTGCAGCGGATTTCAAGCATGTGAGACTGAGGAAGGCGAGAGGAGAGTCACTGAGGACCCCCAAGAGCAGATGGCCACACGGCCTCCCGTCGCACTGTCTTCCCTCAGCACGGGCTGGGCGTCTCTGCCCTCACCTAAACTGCCACCAAATCGTCCATGTGACCAAGAGCTCTCCTCGCCTTTCTTGAAACACAGAGAAGGCCAGGAGCCGTGTGTCTGTGCCTCCCTCCAGGGGCTGGGCTCGACGGCCTGTGGCCAGGGCCCCAGCAGGACTGCAGCTGTCCCACAGAGAGGACCCACAAAACATCGGTAGTGACCATGAGACCAGGTGGACAGGAACGCGCCTTGCCATAGGGGAGCAGAGGCCACAGAGGGCACTGGCTCCTGCCATCTCTGGTGACTCCCAGCCGTCACTCCCCTTGGCCATCAGTGCTCCTGCAGTGGCTGATGTGCATGTTGTCCCAGGCCACCTTAGAGTGTGAGTGAGGCTCTCATGACAGATGCAGAGTCAGGACCATGTTCTGTCATTCCAGAAAGCACGGCCCCTCCTCCACCAGCTCATGGTGGGGAGAGTCCCCCAAGGCCAGTAGGTGGTGCCCAGCCCTACCTGCTGGGCTGGCACGGCACACAGAGCCTGCCGAGCCTTTTCCAGCTTGGCCCACACTGCTCCTCTGCCCAGAGCCTCTCTTCTCCCTGAAGGTCAGCTCAGGTGCCACTCCCCTCCTGGCCTGTCCCTCCAAGGGTCAGGGCTTCTGCAGGTGCTGGGCCAGGCAGCTACCCCTAGACAGCAGGCAGAAGGGCAAGCCCTTGTCCCAGAGGAGTGTGGCCCCCAGGCCTCAGGCCACAGCTGCCCCTCCTGATCTCCGTCCTGCAGAGATAGGACCTCTGCAGCTCCTGCCCGTGCAGACTGCTGCTGCCTGAATGCTTCACCCCAGTGGGACCCCTGACCTGGAGGCGGTCGCCCTGCAGTGGACTGCGAGGAGGCAGCAACTGCCCCCATGAGCATCAGGTGCCCAGCACCAAACGGACACCTTCTTAGACCAAGTGCAGAACTGAGCCGTCCGGCCTGCCAAGCCGCCGTGGGAAGGCGCCTCTGGGAGACGGACGCTGGCTTCTCCAGCTCCTGCCCTCAGGGCATGGCCTGTCTCCCTGTGACCCTGCACGGTCCTCCTTGGGACAGCGCCTGGAACCCACGCAGATGCCACATCAAGGAGTGCTCGCGCCCGAGGGCCAGCCATGGAAGCCCCGCACGGCCTCTGGTGCCTCTCGCTCTGCCGGGGGCCCGTGGTGTCAAGGTGTTTCCTCGTAGTTACACACACCGCTCACCCTTGCTTTGAAGGCATTAATTGCATGATTAGTTTTATGATTTCTTCTGATTACCAATTAAGTTCCCTTTTTTATTTCATACATACCATTAGACTTTACAGTGAGCATTTTTAATTTCTCACTTAGCAGGGGATCTCACACATTGCAAGGCTACATTATCCACTCAATAAACAGGGAGAGTTTAATTTTCTGTGTAAAGTATTGGTGTGGACTTGGAAGGTGATGTTTCAGATTTTATGCTATCAAGAGTGACATTTAATTTTACAGGGGAAAATCTTGTTTTTCACTGTCATAACCATGTTCACAGAGCATGATTTGAGAGATGTGCAGAGACCCAATCCAGCCCTTGGCGTCTCTGGCCTGGATGAAGCTGTCCC